TAATGATGGAACAATCTTAAATTTGTATGAATTAACACAATTTCATGTTCATCAGAAGCTTTAATAACTGCCTCATCTTGTATTGAACCACTTGGAGCAGCAATAAACTTAACACCAGATTGTGAAGCTCTGTGTACATTATCTGAAAAAGGAAAGAATGCGTCAGAAGATAAGGCAACATCTGATAGAGTGGCAAGATGTGATTTACGTTCTTCAGGTGATAACGGTGTAGGTATTGATGTAAATAAAGATTCCCATGATTCACGTTCCGATCCTTCTCCAATTTTATCGATGATATATAAATCAATCGCATTACTTTTATCGGCTCGCTTCACTTCTTTTTTAAAATTAAATGCCAAAACTTTTGGATGATGACGTAGCCACCAATTATCAGCTTTGTCACCAGCTAATCTTGTACAATGAATACGAGATTGTTGACCAGCGCCGAGTCCAATAACCATACCATTTTTAGCATAACAAACTGAATTGGACTGGGTATATTTTAAAGAGATTGTTGCCACTATCAAATCAGTGATTGCAGATTCTGATAACTAATTTTTTTTTTAAATAATAAATAAAAATTGTGCTTTGTAGGATTAATCATTAAAATTAGAAGATAGAAAAAAAGTCAAATAAATAATTACATTTTTATTTTTTGAGACAATATTTTCAAATAATTTTTGATCTATTTGAACATTGTTACGCTTTTGTTGCAAAAATAATCCATAAACTTGTCGAGTTTCTGTTTCAGGTGGTTCATAATCAGGGTCAACCTAATGATCATATATATATAAAGAAAAAAATGTGTTATTTTTTATATATATTTTTAAGAAACATTTGTTATATTATTTGAGAATCCACCTGAATAACTGTGTATGTGCCATTTTTCTTTTTACGTAAAATTTCCAAAGCTTCGGGTTCATAACCTGGAGCAACAATTCCATCAGATACCTCTCGTGAAATAATTTTTGCTGTGGGAATATCGACTATATCACTTAGAGCAATCCAGTCTCCAAAAGAAGACATTCTGTCAGCACCTAACCAACAAAATAAATTTATTAGTCAGAAGACAAAACAATAACTAGACTCATCAGCAACATTGATATTATTATTAACACTGATTTACCTCTAGCACGTGCATAGGCATTTGCCAAAGGTGAAAGATCTTTGACGTCATCTACAAAATATACTTTTTTCTCGATATCAGATAATGATAACCCTACAGCAGCTCCAGCAGGTGAAACATGTTTAAAAGAGGCGGCTGCTGGTATATTAAGAGCATTTTTGAGTTCCTATTTTTATTTTAATAATAATAATAATAATAATAAGTCTTGGAAACATCATCATTAATTGTTTATATCTATCTATAGAACACCCACTTTGACTAAAGGCCAGCCATTTAAAGCATCAAGCAAATTAATATAACCAGGTGAACCAGAAAGGACTATATATATTATAATAATCATATTGTAATTATTATTCATGCAATAATATGTTTTAAATTAATCAGATATTTGTATTAAATCATCCTAACCTTTTATTGGTAATACACCATCTTTCACAAAGACTTGTGCAGGTTTTTGATGTGGATTTGCTCCATAACGCAATGTCAATTGAGAAATATTAGGTGCATATTGTTGCCTAAAATAATTAGAAATTGCATCATCATAATCAGCAGTATGATTAAATGCCTAATGTTTTTTTAAAAAAAAAACTAAATTTATTAAATTTATGTTAATAATTAAGAGATAGATATATGTCATGGAATACATATTTATATTTATATAAATACTTTTAATGCCAATAATCTACGAGTATTTTCTGATACGTGGCCATCTTTTTTCAATTCAGTCAAGAAATTTGTGTAATCATTTGGATCCGAAAGTACTGTAACACGATCATGATTTTTTGCAGCAGCTCTTAAAAGAGTAACACCACCTATATATATATACCAACAAATTGGAATACATATTTATATTTATATAAATACTTTTAATGCCAATAATCTACGAGTATTTTCTGATACGTGGCCATCTTTTTTCAATTCAGTCAAGAAATTTGTGTAATCATTTGGATCCGAAAGTACTGTAACACGATCATGATTTTTTGCAGCAGCTCTTAAAAGAGTAACACCACCTATATATATATACCAACAAATAATGGCAATTGTCATTAGAATAAAATAATTATGCTGACACCATTGAATAAATCATTGTTATGACTGACCAATGTCAATTTCTTCAACGGCCTCAGCAATAGTGATATTTTCTTTTTCAATTGTCTCTTTGAAAGGATAAAGATTGCAAACCACATAGCCAATCTTTTTTATATTTTGTTGGATAAGATCGGCCTCATCACTTTGAATATTTCTAGCAAGAATGCCTTTTTTAGAAAAGTATAAAATTAAGAATAAAATAAAATCAATTTACCGAATATATTAATTAATTAATCAAGCTGATAGAAAATAATTACCGCCATGTACAGCTGGATGTAATGTTTTGACGCGACCTCCTAATATTTCAGGAGCTTTGGTTATCTCCGAGACATCCCTAAGAATTAGAATTGAATAATAATAGTAATAGTAATAGTAATAGTAATAATTGGTTAGCCATTGTGTGATTAACTGCTTTGGTTAAAAGGCTCAGTAAGATTAAAGGGATAACATACGAAATAGGAATACCAGCCTCTCTTATTTTCTTTGCAGTACCTCCAGATCCCAAAAGACGAACATTCAATTCATTGAGTGCTTTAGCAAATTCTAAAAGACCAGTTTTATTATAAACCGAAAGAATTGCTTATATTTTTTTGTGTGTGTGTGTGGAATGTATACAAATGGAAGAAATCAATACAAAAAAATTCATGCATTCAAAATAATTCAAAATAGATAAGTATATATTACCAATTTTTTGTTCGGACATTTTTTTTTTTTTTAAAAAAATTTTTTTGATTTTTTCACGTAGATAATCTTCAAAAATTGTGCAAGTCAAATCTTGCACAATTCACTTTTTTATCAATCTTTTGGAATAAAAGTAGAAATTATCATGTTTACGTAATAGTAACTACAAATTAAAAATTAATTTTACAGCAAGAATCTTTCTTTATTGAAAAACCAAGGAATTTTTTTTGAATGTTCATTTTGTTGCAAGCACGTCCCTGTTTATCATCTTTATTAATGAAGATTATTTTTTTTTGCCGGAAATTCTGGACATCGAACGATACTAATAGGGTAAATTGTAAAAATAAAAAATAAAATTCTAAAGCATGTTTCGACTAATACAACCCAACCAAGATAACACAGATGATTTGATAGATGGTATTTTAGATTTGAGATAATAATCGCATTGGTACAAATGTCTTTTAACAATAATAATAATATCTTTACATATCTATGCATAACATGCCCTTGCATGTTTTTGGCTAGTTCTATTGTTTTCTAAGCCAGTAATGCCCAATCTTTCAGACATATGCATACATATACATATTGGTTTCACGATCATCATAATGCATATGATGAATTTCCAAGTGTGCCATAAATAATTAACAATAATTAACTCAAGCCCGAGACTGATTTGTGCGAAATTTGTTCAAATTAATATTAATCTATTTTTGTCGATCAATCTATTATTATTATATATTAGAAAATAATTTTTCCGATAAAAAATAAACATAAATTATAATTCAAAGCAACAGCAATGTTTGAAAGTATATACTTTATCTTTTTAAGCATAGCAATTATCGGTGCTATTAATTCTATACTTTTACTCTATTATAATTCTGTACGAAAATCATACCATGCCATTGGTGTAAACACCGACCATAAAACATATCAAGATGTTGGTGTACAGACCGATGAGTCAACTTCTTTACAACAAGAATCGTCATTGTCATCGAGTGAAGATAATACCATTGCAGATATAAATAATGATGTGGTTTCAGTTGATAGCTTGACCGAACCTGTAGATTTAGAAACTTCAAAAGGTCTTATTATTGTTAATCTCGAATCCGAATCCGACATTGATGACGAACTAAATATAATGACAAATAATACCAATACCGTTATCGCTAAATCTATTGTAGAAGACAATGAATCAAATGATGATGTCAGCACCAACGACAGTGATATTGATGATGAATACGATAGCACTGACAACACTACGAAATCTGATGATGATATTATTCAAGGAAATAATTGTTTGATGCAAGTTGCTCACGTTGAATATGTTGAATCTGAAATTAGTACAAACAATATTGTTGTAAATTATAACGTTGTAAATAATGCTGTAAATAATAATGTAGATATAAAATCAAAAGAAAACTTCAATTACTCAAATACTGATTTTAGTTCAACTATTGCTGAATTACCATTGGAAGAAGAAGAAGAAGATCTGATATCAAGTAATAATAATGACAATAATAGTGGTGTGACTAGCTCAAATGCTACAATTAATGTTGATTTGATCAATAAATCTATGAATAATGACGATATCAGGCAAACTTCAAATGACCAAAATCTCTCTGATTTAGAAAATGTGCTAGGCTCAAATGGTGGTGATAATATCAATATATATGATGAAAATACAAACCCAAAAGAAAATATTAATTACTCAAACGCCGATTTTAGTTCAACTGTTACTAAACCACAATCAAATGAAAAAGGAGATTTAATGCTAAATGAGAGTAATGGCAATGACAATGTGGTAACTGATTCAAATAGCAAAATTAAAGTTGATTTGACCAATAAATCTTTGAATGATAGTGGTGTTACACGGACTTCAAATGACATTGTTTTTGAAAATGTGTTAGGTTCAAATGATGATGATTTAACCATTAATGATACTAGGAATGGAACGTTTAATGCTGAAACCGAAGTCACAACTATTAATGGTGATGTTAAAAACGAATTGGATAATGATAGTGAAGGCGTAATAGTATCACAAAACGGCTACAATAACACCAGTTTGACATGTAGTTCTAATCATGAAGAGCCACAAGCTGAAACAGGAACCAAATTAAATGGAGATGGTTATCAACATGTTTCATATAACCAATCTGATAATGATGATAACAGTTGGCTAAAAAAAGCGGCAATATTTGAAGCAGAATTACGATCAAGTGGCTATAATCTAGATAATGATAATGTTTTCAGTAGCAGCAGTAATAATCCTAATAAGGTTCAAACTAATCAAAATGGTCGTGGTTGGGGATCGAATAACCGAGACGATGAAAGCGAATGGGAAAAACTAACTGCAAAATTTAAAGCTGAAATAAATAATTCAAGGAGTAATGGTCGTTCAAATAATAAAAATAATGAAGGTTCACGGAGTAGAAACAACAACAGTAAAAGAAGTGGTTTTGATATTACTAAAAAAAATAACAACAATAATTATTACAATCCTCAAAATAATCGTGATAAAGACAACCAAACCATAAGCAAAGTTAATCAAGAAACTTTTTGCAATAGTTGTAAAAAAGTAGGTCATGCACCTTCTGAATGTCCAGAGAATGAAATTAATGCAAAAATAGCATGGACTAAATTAGTTACCGCGGATTCACAAAAGGATTTTGAAGGGGTAAAAGAAGCTTTTGAGATGTACACTAAGGCAGCATCTCACGAGACTTTTCAGTCTATTGAAACTAAATTAAGAAAAGAAAATTGTAATTGTAAGATAATAGCAATACAACGTGAAGGAATCCCTTTGAGAAAATGTATAGCTGACCTTCAAGGAAACAAGGGAAAGAAATATGTTGCTTCTTTGATAATGATCTCGCCACATCTTCTTCCGCGATCTGCTGGTATTAGAGCACAGAGTGAACAAGAAAATTTCGATTGGTTGGCAGACTCTGGTCAATTAGTTGATGATTTATCTGTTCCAATTTGTTACAATTGCAAAAAGCGAGGTCATTATAGTCGTGATTGCTCTCAATATAATATCAAAGAACATAGCAAATTTGATAACAAAATTAATAGTGCGAATAATACATCACCCTTTAATTGTCATAAATGCGGATCCAATGAAAACCGTCATAACTGCCCTTATAGTGAAAATTCACCATCACCACAACGACAGCAACGATCAGCACTTGTTGGTAGATATAATCACCATCACATAATTGATCATAATAGCAACATGAAAGATTTTTTTGATAGATCATATGGTGAACAATGTTACAATTGTGGGTCCACGGGACATCACATTCGTAACTGTCCTCGTAGTGAAAATTCACCAACATCATCACAACAACAATCATTCATGAGAAGGGATCATAATAATTATTATGAAGATAACACATTTGGTAATAACAGATTGGATAATAATAACTTATGGCAACAACAGGCACCAGCATTTGTGAAAGGAGGAGGACATCGTCACCGAGATCATAATAATTATGAAGATAACACATTTGGTAATAACAAATTGAATAATAACCCATTAAGCGGAAAGTGCTTCAAATGTGGATCTCCAGAGCATCATGCTCGTTCATGTACTCGTGATGAAAACTTACAGCAGCAACAAAAAACATCGGTAAGAGGAGGAGGATATCGTCACAGAGATAGTCATCATGAAGGGAATAACACTTTTGGTAGTAGCAAATTGAATGGTAACTCATCAAACAGAAAGTGCTTCAAATGTGGGTCCCCAGAACATAATGCTCGTTATTGTACTCGTAGCGGAGATTCAAAACAACAAAAGACATCAACTTTTGTAAGAAGAGGAGATCGAGATCATTACAGAAATAATAATAATCATTATTGAAGGATGTGGAATCAAAACCGCTTAAAATGCGAATCACTTGAACATCTTGCTAATATCTACACAATATAACTGGTTTTATGATGATGATAACAACAGTCAGTATCAATGACAATTGCAATGACATTGGTAACAGTGGAAGGACACCTTTCTAGAAACTGTTTGTTGTACATCAAACTGTTAAATAAATTTATGTATATTAAATTTTAGCTTAATGAATCATTATTTTGCATGAATAATTTTAATATTTATTAACTATATATAAATTTATTTTTTTTCAATGATTGTTCATCACTACTAGAGGTCTGCATGAGCCATTATAATTAAACTCATGTCCAACCCGGATCCCTAAAATTAAACCCTAACCCAACCCGTAGACAAAAAATTTCACATATTATTATTATATATATATTCACCGGATAATATAAAATAACATTTATTAAAGTGCACCTCGCAACACAAGTATACTGTCCATTGTATGTGGATTTAAATTTGCACGAAGCTGATTAATAGTTAATCCTGCTGCACTAAATTGATACACTAGAAGATGGAGATGAAAGATAACAAGCACTTAATATTGCCACCATTGTATATATCCAAATCCCTATCCTTTTGTATTTTCAATAATAATTTATCACTTGAATTGTAATATTGACTAATAAATAATTATTTACAAAAAAAAATTATTGTATGATACAATTTTTTAGCACGCTGTAATGTTGGGTATAAGTATCAACCCGGGTCTAACCCGCATTCATTAATATTAATTATGCCCATCCAGGCTCAACCCGCAATGCAGGTCTGGTACAGAGTTGGGTTGCGAGTTGGGTCCTATTGCAGGCCTCTGATAAAATCGTTTTCACTTGATAGGATAGGTTTCCATGATAGAATCGGTTTTCACTGTACCGATTGATTATTCAACCTATGTAAAAAACTCTGAACTTCTTGTACTTCGATTTCAACTTTTTCTTAAATAAATAAGTAATGATCCCTAGCAAGCTTTGGCTTGAGATCAAGTCGAAACTAAAACCTGTTATTTATTAACTATAAAGTTAAGAAAGGGTTATGAATTTCAGAGTTCTTTACACATTTTGAATAATTAGTAACGACCATGTAATGAAACTACGAACTAGCAACCCCATATGTTTTTCCGAACATATTGCGAACCAAAACACCAGTCCTGTGGAAAACATCTTTATTTTGCACTTGATATACGTAGATCCCATTATAAAACAATCGACTTCATTGAAATCATTTTCATACCTAAAGTTTTTGCTACTCTGCTAATGCAACTACATTATTGGCTCTGCCAATGTCTATTTACCTTTTTTAGTAATTTGGACAGTCTGATTGTTAGCTCTGCTTTAAACTACACCTTCCATAAGTGCACCATGTGCCTCATTCCCAAACTCGGGACTTAAGTGATAAGTGCACCTTTACATATCTGCACCGCACGGTCTTTTCCCATGTAAAACCACCACCTCTAAATGTCATTCGTGACTTTCACGTAAACACCGTGCGATAATGTATTAATAAGATAATCTGTTTTTAATAAATAAATTAAATTTTTCTTTTCTTTTTTTAATAGATGCAAAGAGTTGTCGGAACAACAGATTAATAACGGGAATAATAGAATGATGAAGTTTATAATTTTTTAGCAACATTAGAACTGATTCTTCAACATTAGGTAAACTCACTAGGTGCATACAACTCTTAACCTATCTGATAGAATGTCAATTGAAGAGTTTTAAATAATCCAAAAGAAAAATTTATAAAGTTCCTGACGATGAATAAATGTGTATAAAACAATCAAAAGTACTTGTGGATGGATAATGGTGATGGAATTGAGGCGGTAATAATAAGCGTAATGATGATGTTGGAAATTTTCCGCGTCTTTTTTGCTACAAAGAAGAAAAATTCCAAAGGAACAGACAGTTAAAACAAGTTACGACACGTGCAACTAATAAAAAATTCCAAATGCATGCATCATCCCTTGGGTAAATGATCAACACAATTGTCAGTCGGTAAATTAAATTTTATTCGTAATAGTAACCCCTCACTATTACTATGATAATTTAAGAAGGTTTATCAGTCATACATAAACTCGAATCATTTCTACATTTAAATAATACGTTATATTAATTTCTTTGGGCTCCTAATTTCAAAAAAATTTAAAATATGGCAAGAAACAACACCACTGTTAATCTACCAACGATTTCCGAATTGAACAAATTACCGTATGAAGAATTTGTCTCTTCATTAAATATTCTATTTGAATCAGCGCCACCTTTAGCTAAACATTTATATTATTCATCAAGACCTTTCACATCATACAAATCATTGATAACAATTGCCAAAGAATATGTTACTTCTAACAACAACAACAACAATGATGATGATCTATCATTATCATTATCTGATAAGCTTGAAATAATTAATGCACACCCACGATTAGGTGATAATAGAAAAAATCTTTCGATAATGTCACTCAATGAACAAGGTTATAATAATAATGCGAGCAGTAGTGAGAATGTGAATGCGAATGTGAATGAAGAAGAAGATAAGATCAATTCAAAGCTTCAAGAATTGAATTCACAGTATGAAAATAAGTTTGGTTTTAAATTTGTGATATTTGTTAATGGAAGGAGTAGAAAAGAATTGATACCAATAATTGAAGAAAAAATCCAGAATGGTGATAAAGATGAAGAGTTGAATAGAGGGCTAATTGATATGATGGATATTGCAATGGATAGATTAAAAAAATTAAATTGTGAATAAATTTATTGGATTGTTGGTTGAATAATTTACATTAATTTATAATATTTTATTGGAGATATGAAAATAAATAAATAAGAAAGTCAAAAGAATAAATTAATAATTAAACAAATAAGAATAATTTACGATTATTTAATCAAAGTTTTTTCCTTTTCCAATTCTTTTTCAATAACTGTTTTAACCAGTTCTTTATCAGCCTTCTCCACAAAAACAACATTTTTTTCTTTTTCCAATAATCCCTTGAATTCCACTGGTAGAATATTTTGAAAATCGAAATTCTGAAAATTTTTTAATGCTGTTACAACTGTTTCAGAGAATTTTGCTGGATGAGCTGTTGAAAGACAAATCTGATATGTATTTCTATTCATACATGCATACACATACATAAGTGTATTATAAACATAAATGTGTTGAAAAAATAATACTTGAATATAATAATTAATAGATTACTTACGGATCATTATTTTGCCCAACTACAACTTCTGCAGCTGCCACACCAACAGCAGTGTGTGGATCAAGTAAATACGAGACTTGGTTATCAGAATTAGGCGAATAATAAGTTTTTATAGCTTTTAATGTCTGAGAATACATAGAGATAAATAAATGATATATTAGTAATTAGATAAACTTTTTTAAATAAAGAATTTTTAAAAACAGAACCTCTTCATTAGTAACTTTAGAGCTTGTAAAATCACAAAGTGCTATATCCAAAATTGATTTATCAACAATAATGTTTTGATTTGATTTAACTTTTTTCATCCAATCATTAACTGTAGAACATGTAATATTAATCTTTTTTTCTTTGCCTTCGCCATCTTTAACATTTTCATATGCCAAATACCATAATAATCTTTCAAAATTACTAGAAATTGTTATATCCATAGCGGGACTTAGAGTTTCGTGCACATACGTATCATTACTATTACTATTGCCATTGGTATTAATATTGATTTTTTCATATCTGCCAGTTTTAAAAAATCTATCCAAAATATCGTTAGAATTTGTTGCCACAACGAAATTATCAATTGGCAGTCCCATATGTTTAGCATAATAACCTGCTAAAACATCACCAAAATTACCCGTTGGTACGCAATACTGTAATTTAATATCTGGTACAGATGCAGATGTTGATGGAGAAATATTTAAAGATTTTAATAGTTGAAAGTACGAATGATAATAGTATACTATTTGCGCAAGAATTCTAGCCCAATTTATAGAATTTACTGCACCAAGCTTATGTTTTTGATTGAATTCAACATCTGCAAAAAGCGCTTTAACCGTGTCCTAATAAAGTATATTAAATATACATGTATAAAATATAAATAATTCACATGTATATAAATATACATAATTATTGTTGTTTACCTGACAATCATCAAAAGTTCCTTTCACAGCTAAATTATGAACATTATTATCTAAAACACTGGTCATTTGTGCTTCTTGAATTGGAGAAACTTTTCCATGTGGATGTAAAATAAATACTGATATATCTTTTTTCCCTCTTAATCCATAAATTGCTGCACTAAACAAAAAAAATATTAATAGACGCCATTATTATCATTAAGTTTAAATTTTAATAATCATTAATAAATAATACCTTCCAGTGTCGCCACTAGTTGCACCAACAATTGTAATTTTTTCTCTCTCTTCCTCATTCTTTTCCACACTCTTATTATTCTTTTTTATCAATAAATATTCAAATAAATTGCCCAGGAACTGTAATGCAACATCTTTGAATGCAAAAGTTGGTCCATGAAACAACTCCAAAATATACAACCTATCTTTAATTTTTTTGATGGGTGTGACCTCTTTATCTCTAAAGACAATTGACGGCGCTGTTGTTGAATAAGATTGTTCTATTAACTTTTGAAGATCTTTTCTAGGTATTTCTGTTTCAGATATATATAATGAGAAAATTTCTATTGCCAATTCGGTAAACGAATAATTGTACCAATCTTTATACCAATTATTTGGAAGTTTTGGTATATCGTGTGGTATAAATAGACCACCATCTTTTGCTAAGCCTATCAGTACCACCTCAGAAAATGTTAAATTGTCTTGATAACTTCCTCTCGTCGATCTATATTTCATTTTTTTTTTTTTTGAATTAAGAAAGAGATCACAAACGATTATCAATTAGTAATACCCAAATATAAAAAATTACACAAAACTCGTAGTACCGCTTTTTTCCCTACTTGGAATTTTTTGTTTGATTTTGTGATCCACGTTTTTCCTATATATATTATTGCAGATTTACTATATATATATTTATGTAATGACTATAAAATATCACATGACTAACCAATATCATCGCTGCGGCGCAGAGTAAGTTGTGGGTCAAGTGACTACCGTAAAGTCTGGAAAGATAGCATCCCATTTTTACATATGTGTAACATTTTTTTTATATTGACGCTCAATTGTTTTAAAGTAGGAGTACTATCTTTCGGGGGATGCTATCTTTCCAGACTTTACGATAAACACAAAAAAAAGATTTAACATTTGCCGTGTCACGATCTCCTTTTGCGTCTAGCCGCGCCTGGTCTTTTCGGTTTTTTGCGCGATCAACGTTTTCACCATATTTAGCAAAAATTGTGTCGTACGGCAAATGGTTTGTTTTATAACCTTTAGAAATAATTAAGGTCCAGTTTAAATTCAAGCACACCGGAAAGATTGCTATTTATTAAAAGAAACATGAATCTTGTTTCAGTCTTTCCTTATTAGTTTCATTTTTAATTTCAATTTTTATAATAATAAAATCAATATTAAACCTTGTTGTATATATAGTTTGAATATTTAAGTAATTGAACAACCCATGATTCCAAATAATCTAATAAAATGAATGAACAAACCCAAGGTTCCGATAATGAATAAAACAAATAAAACAAACAAATAATTTGAATAAAAGCGAATTAAATTTTTAATTCGAATAAACTTTTAAATTCGAATAAACTTTTTCGAATAAACTTTTTCGAATAAATTTTTTTAATTCGAAATAAATTTTTTTACGAATAATTCGAATAAGAATTTGTATTACAAATAGAAGCCCTAACTACGATGTGATGTTTTTTTAATATGTCAGTGAATAAAGCACCATTTATCTGATCAAAATAAATACAAGAAGTAAAAAATATATACAAGAAGTAAAAAAATATATACAAGAAATATTTACAATGAGCGGGGAAATAATCAGATAAAACGTCGATATACGATAGTGTTCCCGCGGGCTAAGACTTACGATTAAAAAACAATTATATACAAGAAAAAAGAAATAAAAATTAAATAAATAATTTAAGGGCGCGGGCTTTATCATCTAGTCGACCAGCGACTATTGATGATAAATCCTCTATAACGTTTGTCACATCTGTGGGTATACCGACGTTTTAGATGATCGGCTCACCACGACGCCGATCGTATCCTTTGTCAGAACTCCCTCCAATTCATTTACGGCCGGGCGACCTGCAAATGTTTGATATTAATTAATTGAAAGTTTTCTTAATTAATGTGATTCAGATATAATTGATATAATACCTATATTCTTTCGGTACCAATTCTTGCATTGTATAACAAACGGGATGCCGCAGACAACTCCTTTAATGTCAATTCCTTTGTCACCCGGCCCTTTGTATAATTGATAAACAATAAACAATAATGAGTATAATGCGTCATTATCATCAAAGAACTCGACAAAATAACTCAGTGAAAAACACTCACCCAGTATGTTCACACTCAATCCCTGCATCCCTCAATATGTTTACAACTGTGATTTCAAGTTGACGGCCTTTTGCTACCGAAGAAAGCATTTTTAAAAAAATTTGTTTTGGAGGAAAAAATTTTTTTTTATAAAATAATTAGAAAAAAAAGATCTTTATAAAATTATTAGAAAAAAAAGATCTTTTAAAAATTATTAAACTACTCACATCTTATATTTATAATCGATTGAAAATGTATCCAGAATGTTCTATACTAATATCCTTAGTCAGTGTCGTTATTTTATTATTATATAACGCGATGAAAAAAATTACATAATTTTATTTAAAGAATAGGAATTTCACAATATGTTTATGTTCCTATTATTGATAAAAATTGCTTGATTCCCCATTAAGCAACAATATATTGATCATCTGAATTTAAAAAAGCTAAATACTGGTAGCTTTTTAAAATTGCTTTCCTTCTATTACTATGAGGTAATTAATTGAATTGTATGTGGTCGCAAAATAAACAAAAAAATAATAAGAATTCGATGATTCTTACGAAAAATGGTAGAGTTGGTAATAATAATAATAATAAATAATGAAAGAATATTTATGGTTACGAATTACCTCCTCTCTCTGAAGTCATTCCTGGGTTTGACAATCATCCACAAATAAATGAAGTTTATGCCAAAAAAGTATATATTTGATTTGTACTCCAATAAATAAATATGATATAAAGTTGGCATTTTTCCATTACAGTTTAATATTAGTATATATATATTAGGAAGTAAATGGAAATGATCAACACGAGATAATTAATAGTAACAAAGGACAATTTCCAAGAACAGTAGAATGGCAAATAGCCCTAGAAGAGGAATGGGGTAAATTGAACCTGATATTTTTATTTAAATTGGTTAATGGTGTTTTTAAAATTGTAATTGAAACAAAAAGCGGCATGTTAAACATTAATGCCTCTATTAAATAACGTGAACAATTAATGAATAATAAAAGGTTTGGTTTAACATAGAATTGTGACAAATTAAAAACGTTTGTAATAACCCTGTCGGGAACACGGTAACTTTTTCTAGATGTTCTTATGTTTTTCTATGAGCTTAATAGTAATTGGTTCTCAACATATGTGCCACTATATGGAGAGATATGACCGTATAATGTTGGTAATAAAATTATTTTTCAAAATATTCTATTAACCATCTACAGTATTATCAATTAGCCTTAACAATTTTCTTTTAATCGAACCAATATTACCACCACCATCGGTATGTCATTAGAAAAAAACTTTTTGTTGCAAAATAAACTTCTCGCATTGAAACCCCCCTCGTTCAAGGGAACCAAGTCGAAGTTACCGAAAAATAATTCGTTTTTAGCGGGCATGAATCAATTTGAAAATAGCGAAGGAAAACTTTTTTGTGTGTTCGTATGTTGAATTGGGTTATATATCGGAATGGTGTTTTGGTGATAGAGGAAATGATACCAGCATAATTAATGAGGAAAAATAGAAAAAAACAGTGGATAATGAACATCGTGTTACTATACTGTAGGTATCGGTCAATTAATAATCACTTTCTCTTTTTTTTTTAAAGAAATTATCAATTTTATATGTCAGATTTATGTAGTGATAAGCAGGCCACCTTCGTAAATATACTGTCTTTCGATTTTGACTGTTTAAAGGTGGACGAAGGTGTCCTTGTTGAATACAGGAGATTGAGCTACCTGAGTTAAAGGAAAGTTTATTAATGTTGGTGCATTTCTCATTGTATAGGAGATCAAAATTTTGAATTTATCGGAAAGATGTCATAATTTTTTGTTACAAAAGTTTTAGAATAACGAATGCTATGGATATGGATAACTTCTACGATGGACTACCTCAGAGATGACTTCACCGGGATTTACAAAAAATTCTGGACTAATCTTGATCAGAGATGCTTGGATGTTCAACAAGATGGATCGGAGGCTGTTATTTGTCAACATTCGGAAAAATTCTTCAAAGAATCTGAAAAAACATAATTTTGAAACTTTCTTTTATTGTAAAGAAAGTCATCAAAAAAAAAATAAACCAACTTGTTGATAAATTTCTTTGAGGGTAAATTTACAATAAAATTCAGCACCAATTATATTTACGCTTGTTTCACTTCACACAAAAGAACAATATTATTTTACTGAAATCAATTAAAAAAAAGCTCAAGCCTCAAATAATCTGTGAAGCAGAAAAACTGCATAGACAAGAAACTATGTTGAAATATTTGCTAGAAAATCGCCTAATAAACAAATTGCTGAAACTTACTTTGAGGAGATAGATAATATTCTCGCCATTCTACAACATTATCGTAGCTACAAAGATCCACCACTATATCAAGATGACCCACTTACTTTTACTCTGACAAATTTATTGAATCGCACGTAGTGCTAGCATTAATAAAAAAAGTACCTATTTTTAGATGTATGGTATCTGAGTGTATAACATTCGTCGTGAAATGCAACTAGTAGAGTTTTAGAAACTATTTTACAAATTTAGAACACCCCAACATTCCCGGAATTGAATTTTTCTACACTGGCGTGAAGGTGAAAAACGTCAAACAAAAGAAATGGAATATCCTTTAAGTTTATAATTATTAATTTCGTGTCAATCATTCTTAAACAAAAAAATTATAAATTCAAATATTAATTATTAGTATTAGTATTGGATGATGTCATTTCACATTCATTTGATTATTTATTTTGATATTAATTATTCAATTATAAAAACGTGTTTGGAGAGAATTTCTTTTCAAAAATAATACAAACAAAATAAAAAAATTAAATTATTATCTATCCATAACGATTCACCTAATTCTCCAACTTTAACCTTATCAACTAACTTATTTATTATTATTATTACTATTATCATTATAATTAATAAATAACCAATCATATTTAAATTAATAAATAATCATTAATCAACTATTTAATTTGCCCTATTAAATTATATTTCATAATTTAATAGACTATCATTACTTAAATTCAATTTAGCAATCTCATCATTTAATATTCTACTTGTATGATATGCTAATGGATGTGCTTGTTGTGAATTACCATTATTACTACTACTATTACTATTATTATTATTACCACCACCACCAATATTACTACTACTTTCATTAGAACTCACAGTTTTAAATTCATTATAAGAAAAATCCAAAAGTTCTCTACTAGTTGGTCTCTTGGCTGGATCCACATCCCAACATCTTTGCATCATTTGTACATAATCATTAGGCATTCCTGGTAATATTGGTGGTCGTAAACCTTTGCATATTTTTAATTGCAAATGAAGATCATGTGCCTCATCATCAAATGGTGGATGACCTGCAAATATTTCCCACATTAACATCCCAACACTATAAATATCTGTTTCTTTTGTGTATTTTTTTCCTCTAAATAGTTCTGGTGCAATATAAGATATAATTCCATAAATTTTATTTGATGATTTTTCATCAACTGGTCCACATAATCCTAAATCTGTGATATAACAAATACCTCCATCCAATAATATATTACCACTGTGTAAATCACAATGAATTAAATCTTTTTTATGTATAATATATAATGTATCACATAAATACTTGAAAATCATAATTCTATCCTTTGATGTTAAATTATAATGATTTTTTTGTATATAATCTCTTAAATTTCTATCTGGATGTTAACCAAGAACCATTGCATAATTTCCATTTTCTGGGAATTTAGTTATACCAAAACAAGGAGTAATTCCATTTGATTTAATTTTACAATAATTTAATGCCTGAAATTAATTATATAAATAAATTAATTTAAAATAAATGGTTTAATTTTAAAAGATCAATCACCTCATCAAAAAAAGGTTTTCCTGGATTACTCGAATTATTTAATGATTTCAATACTACAAGCTGATCTCCAAAATAACTAAACTCCTTTTTATTTTCATTGTAATCATCAATATATCCTCTTATCCACCCAGCAGTATAAATAGAACTGAATCCACCTTTTTTATATTATAAAATTGTTCATAAGGTACCCATTCTATAATTTGATCTGGAGGAGATGAAAGTTGTTGATATTTTTGAATAAAACCATCAATTATCTCATTTCCAGATGTCCAAGTACTGAAAAGGCTATGCAAGTGTAGACTAATACACTTTTCACAATATTTGTCAGAGTATCTTGTTGTTTTACAATTATTGCATTCTCTTGGTTCACCCCATTTATAAGTTGCATTGTTTAATTCGAAATTATGAATAAACCTTTCTCTACAATACTCCTTTTCATTTTCCAATAGTTCTTTGTTTTCTTTGACTAATTGTAAAAAATAACTTTTTCTATTTTCACAGTCAGAATTAGAAGTAGTTCGAAAAACAGAATAAGCCATATCATTCATTTCATTAAAAATTTTAAGTACTAATTCTCTTCTGCCTGGTGTTATTAACTTATATAATTATTGAAGGACATTTCAACTTTTTTTACAATAATTTCTTTTTTTGTGGTATTTTTGCAAATCATATTCTTAAAATTTGCAAAGATTATAGGTAATTGAAATAAATAACTTGCTGACAGATTTAATCCATAAGATATCTTTATTAATTCTGACCAAAACACCTTTTCTTCCAAATGCTTTCCTTTGTAATGCAGAACTGTCCTATTTCGTTTTTACATTTAGATGATACTAAAACAGAGGATCTCTAAATAAATAACCATGCATATAAAATATAACAATCTCCTAAATTTTTTGGTTTTATGGTTTCAGATTCGTATTCTTTAACATATTATAAATGCTTCATTCACCCATTGTCTCTGATTTTTACCTTCCTGATCTTGCGGGATATTAAGGTCTTATTTTTGAATAAACCAATGTACTTTAACAGGTTATTTGGAACATTGTCAGTATCTCTAATTCCTTGATTTATCCTGTAGTAAAAACATTGCTTCGAATATAGGAATAAAAACAAAAAAGTAAATCCAAATGCAAATTCCATAACTAACAAAATACTGCTTATATAACACATTTTTCAGATTGAGAAACAATTTTGATCTTGTGGATCTCTCATGCTGAATCCAAATACTTTCAGATATAATTTTGGCAACTAATAAAATTAATTTCAGCATTTATGAAAAACTATTTCACCATTATTAAGAGAGCCAACTTCAGCTAACATGCTTACAATTGACTCAATTAGGTGACTTTTTGATTAAAAATTGAGATTTTGGGAATTAAGTCAAAGCCAAATTTGTAAAATTTTCTAAGGTTACACGATTAACAATGCATAAAATCACGTGAAAGTCACGGGCGTGCATTTAGGGAGTGGTTTTATATAGTTGGGAATGAAAAAAGACCGTGCAGTGCAGGTATGGAGGTGTGCACTTATCTCTTAAGCCCTGAGCTTGGGAATGAGTGAAAGCGTGCATTTAGAGAGGGTGTGCATTTATGGGGCGCATTTAGGGGGGTTGACTGTAGTACCAAGTAAACTGTTCAAAGGAATCTTCGTTAAAAGAGAAAGTACCATTGATAAAATGGAAATGAACCATCAATAAAAGGAATGAAGCCACTGATAGATGGAAACGAGTCATTAAAACAATCAACATATAATAATTATTATAACGATAACGGGAGAAACATACCACAGGAAATATCCAGACCCGAAAGACAAGAAATCTGATCAAGCCTTTTTCATTAATACAAAACCTAATATGCTAAAACCAACCTTAATTACATGGCACAAATGATCTTTAACGGGAATGAATACACAGAAATTATAAACCAGACTGGCTTACGAAGCCAAAGAACCAAATAATATTTAGCCTACGAGATATGAAAATAGGAGCATGGATATTAAATTTAAACAATGTTTTTGCTAATAATATAGGAATTTGCTTTATCGTCAACATTATTAAAAATAAATAAATAAACAATTTTTTGTACCATGTCTTATAAAATCAATTAATGCATCTTCTTTTGGA